AAGTTAACGATTAATCGATTAATTGATCGTTAATTTAAACGACGATCGATCATGGAAATGATCGAAAATTGACATCCCTAATCCAGAGTGTGGAAAAGGGCTCAGAAAATCACTCTGGATCCCTCACATCCAAGCCATCTCCTTCTTAAACTTTTGCCATCTGGTCGGCGTTAGAGAGCACCGAACACCAGGACAGCCAGGCACAAAAAAGTTTCTTCCCCCAGGCAATCTACCTCGTGAACAGTTAAATGCTCTCCCCATTGTCTAATAAAAATATGTGCAATACCACTTATATTTATTTGATACCACCCATCTTAGTCCATCCCTACATCTTGCTCTCCATATATAGCACACCTGTACATACAATTTTTGTCTATTTTTCATTTATATATATATATATATATATATACAGGGTTGGGAGGGTTACTTTTAAAATGTATTCCGTTACAGTTACAAATTAGTTCATTAACAAAGTATTCAGTAACGTAATCCAAGTACCACAATATAAAAGTAATGTAATCTGATTACTTTTTGATTACTTCAAGTTACATATGTAAATAAGTCAAAAAAGCAATATCTAAGTACTTTTATTTAACTATGACTTTAAAAATAAAACTAATAAAAACTATAGTAAAAACTATTTGAAACGTAATCCAAGTACCACAATATAAAAGTAATGTAATCTGATTACTTTTGGATTACTTCAAGTTACATATGTAAATAAGTCAAAAAAGCAATATCTAAGTACTTTTATTTAACTATGACTTTAAAATTAAAACGAATAAAAACTATAGTAAAAACTATTTGAAACTATTAAAAATCGTGTCTTGTTTCACCATCTAGATATTACAGCCCGTATATTTATATAAAATGCTATGCAGACATCTAGTGGCCGCTATACAGTTTATTATTACAGTTTTATTGTTATTATCATTATTTTAAATTCTTTAACATGTACAAGTAAAAATAAATATAGTTTATACACAACATTAAAAAATTTACACCATATACATATTAGTCTATTTTAAAATAAGCCTACATATCGAAATGCATGTGAAATGCTATGATCTTTCTTTATTTCATTGACTGATCCAGGGTGTGGGGACTCAAAAAATAAGAAAAATAATTTCTACATATTCAGGCTCATTTTCCGCTAGAAAACTTACAACTGCAGTCATGCACACCATGGAATTTTAAATCACTAACAAACACTACATTTTAGCTAACATGATGATTTCCATGCTAGTAGGACTCGTACCTGCAAATGTTGTCCATCAATTAGTGATAAAAAAAATTGCCGCGCTGGTGGAAACAACACGAGCCCGTGCTACCGCAACTGTCAAGAGCGGTTCGACTGTGTTTAGTGTCCCGCAGCAGCAGCATGCGTGCCGTCAGCGCAGTTGAAGAGATCTGCATTCAAATGCACGCAATAGGCTAAGCTTGCAGCAAAGCCCCAGCAAAAGTAATTACCATGAATGTGTCAGGGGGAAATAGTAAGGAGATATTTGAATTATTTACTATTAAAAAACTAGTGTTTTCTGAGTCGGTGTCGCAAGGATGAAGTTGTCGATCCTGACTCGCCATCTCCTCATTAGACGCACCTTTAGAGAGAAGTGCATCTTTACAGATTATGATTATGATTATAATGAAAGAGTTTTTGTTTTCGATTTTTTAAAGCGTTCTATAGATATATTTATCATGTCTGTGAGGCATGTATTCGCTGAGTTTCGGTTCATTTTTGTGAAGCGCTCCTGTTCAAGACGAGACAGCAGAAAGCGCATCATTTTTGTTTTCTTTATTTCATAAAAGCATGTAGGGTATCAGACTGACTCAGACAATTTAAGATTCGATCAGATTGGTGTTGAACAACCCAAAGAGCTGAATTCCACAAAGAGGCCCAAGACAACGTCATAAATCTGTCCACGATACCCTGGCGCCATGAGTCTCAAGCAAGCCTAACCAACCAACTCTTTCACTTGTTATAGAAATCATGTCCAAAATTATACTCTACCATGTGACTGATGACAGATGACATGTTGATTTATGTATTGGGAGGAGAAACATACAACACCCCGAGCAAAGACAATATCTAATCGGTCAAGTCACCATTTGGGATGTGTCCAAAAACCCAGTTTAATATATGATGCGTCATATGATGCGATTTCAATTTTTCCTTTCTCTTTAGAGTGTTACAAGCTCTTGGTGCATAAAGAAGATCTGTAAAGTTGCAAATACTAAAGTCTCAAATCCAAAGAGATATTCTTTATAAAAGTTAAGAGTTAGCCACGCCTACCTAAAACGGCTCGTTCTAACACGCACCCACATGTCTACGTCACGATGTGGGAAGATGTGCATAACGCCGCCCAAATGTTCACACAAAGAAAGAAGGATAATGTTCTTTTTAGCAGCATCATATGACCCCTTTAAATACTCAGGACACCATCAAATTACGCTTTTTGGCTTTTAGCTTTTAGCTTCTAGCCTTTTTGCCACCGCATTTTGATGCTGCTTTTTAGCGCTCTTTGGCTTACACGCCAGCAGCTCCACTAAAATCATGAGGAGAAAACCCATCTAGTCTCGTGACTTCTATTCTTCTACTTTAATTTATTTTATTTTCCGTTGAGAGTTCCGTGTTCTGAGTTAAGTTTTGTCTCCGAGTTCAACTCGAGTCTGTGACCGCCTCAAAACTTCAACCAGCCAACAACTCCGCATCTTAAGCCAACGCCCAACCACTGGCTTCCCAAGACGTCACTTCAACGACTACTGAACTTCCAGCCAATCAGCAACCTCGGGAAACCCCCTTTTCTGCAAGGACTACAACAAAGGGAACCCCTTACACAGGCAACGCAAGTACCTCCAGATTCTTCTGGCCGACTCAGTGATCAGCCGTAAAGCAGTGATTCTGTCCAAATTCCCTATAAAATCATAAATGATTCCCTTTGAGCTAAATTGACCTGTTTCCCTTACAAGCACAACGTTTTGTTGATATTGTGAGTGCACACAAATAAAAGTACACCCTTTACAGTTCCGAATGATGTATTACTCTTACTTTTATGAGCAAAAATGACGGCGTATCCACTGAAAAAAAATGCAGTGATTGCGCTGGCGCCTCCATGTCCAGCAAAGCGCGCTTTAGCTCACTCTCCGCACAAACTATTGGATATAGCACATTTAACAAACTATTGCACATTTAACGTTTAAACATTGTTACTTGAACTGTTTTATATATATAGATTTTATTTTAGGCAAGTCGTGATGATTTGAGAAGGCTAAATTGATCAAATATAGGCTCACTGTCTGCCGCTGCATGGCCACTTGGTCGTTATTTTAAAAAACAAAAACTTGTAACGAACAAAAAATGCTCCAAACGTTTTTCTAAATTAACATAATAAAAAAACGAAACAAAATATAATCACTTTGCCATTACATACAAAACTGAACTATTTTAATAGCTGAAACAGTACGCTGTTTTGGGAGAAGGGGAAAAAAGAAGGGCTCGGGCCGGTAATTCTGATAAGCTGTCGGACACAGGCCGGGCAGTTACTCCCCAACCCTGTATATATACATACATGTATTTTATTAATATATCTTATTTTTTTTATTATCTGTGTTTTGTTGTTGTCTCTGTTTACTGGAAGCTTCTGTCACCAAAACAAATAACAGCATGTGGTGTCAGTGATGTCTCGGGTTATGCATGTAACCATGGTTCCCCGAGACATTCCCCTTCAAGGGAACTCGCACTGCATCCTCTAGTGAACACTATGGGGAACTAAATACCCACTATGCCATGCCTCGGTGCATTGCCTGTCCACCTGGTGAGAGAGCACCAAAAATAGTGGCAAACATACACCAATTTAAAAAGGGGGCATGCCAATGATGCCCGGACAGCTAAAATAACTTGGGGGAAATGGGGAACCCAACCAACTCTAATATTAAGGAGGGACATCCCAAAACAGGCAATGCACCGAGGCATGACATAGTGGGTATTTAGTTCCCCATAGTGTCCACTAGAGGATGCAGTGCGAGTTCCTTTGAAGGGGAATGTCTCGGGTTACGCATGTAACCATGGCTCCTCGAGAGGGAACGAGACACTGCGTCCCCTTGCCATGCCTAGGGCCTGCCTGTTTAACAAACAAAAGTTGATGATGTGCATTACAGGCGAAATCCTACAAGTGGTTTTCAAATGATCATCTTACACTGTACATTAAAATACGCTACAACCTCTAATGAGCTAATTACTGCCTCATACATATCTTTAGATTGCATAATATGGAGATGCAGTTTGTGCTGTGGGTGTGCCACACAAAAATGCTCAAACAAAGAATCACACACACACGCCACAAGCAAACACTCCTGCTGGCACTGAGACTGACATATCTCTCTCAAGCGGTGTGTGTGTGTGTGTGTGTGTATTAGAGGTCGTAGCAGAGAAACAGTTGTCAATGTGGGGGCAACACATCAGCACATGCCGTCTGCTGCAGTTAACAGCAAACAAACACTGCCACTCTGAAATGGCCTCATTAGCGCTACAGCAGCGCTGCCGGGTCTCAACTCCTCTCTGAGGTTATATAAAGTAGATGTATGTTTGTGTGAAAGAGCGTGTTATTGTGTAGACTTTTTTGCTAGCATGTGTGTGTTTAACCTGCTGTTAGTCACACCTGTTCTCCATGTCGGCGCTGCACTTGGGTGACAGAAGCTCAAAGGACTTGGTAAACTTCACCACCTGCGGGAGACATTAAAGCGAGCAGTATTAGAGAGATGCAGCAGGCAGGGGATGGGGAGGAAGAGGAAGGATCAGAGCGTACTGGAGATTCGATGTCCTCCAGAAGCTGGACGGAGCAGCGTTCACACTTCAGCAGGGTCTGAGCTCGATGCATGATCTTCCTCACGATCTTCTCCAAATCGGTCTGCTCTTCGAACAAATCGTTCACAACCTCTAGAAGAGCCTACACACACGGACACACACAGAGAAAAGCCCGAAACATACTTGACACAAGTATATGAATGCAAATTCAAGTAGAATTCATGCGTCAATGCATTCATGTGTTGCATTCTGAAGTACGCATGGCATTTGGTGTGTTTCTGCAAGGGCCCTAAAGCAGGAATTAGTGTTAAGTGTCGTATTCTATGGCCAGTTATGTCTTTCAGGTCAACTGCATGTTCAAAGGGAGAAATCATAAAATCTGTCATCATGTACATTCAAGAAAGAAAATTAAAATGGGTCTGAAATGAAATTAGGGTAATAATTTCATTTCAGACCCATTTTAATTTTCTTTCTTGAATGTACTGGTGTTTTATCCATGCAGTTCCAATTAATGGAGACAGAATTTAGTTTAAAAGGGATTTGGGGGTATTATTCTATTGATTGTGGCAGCAGTAATTAATAAAATTATGATCAAAAGATGGAGAAGAGCCATATAAATGGGCAAACCCTTGAAAAAGCAGTGCATTTAATTGTACTGAATTTGTACTTGCAGTGTACTTCAAGTACATAAAAATAAACTTAAAGATAATATAATATTAATGAAATAAAAGGCCACTTAAGTGTACTTAAAGAGAGTTCACTTTCATTACTGTTTCATGAAACACTTAAATATACTTTTAAAAAGTGCACTTTGTAATAATGTCAAATTAAAAGTTTTACTTTAAAGTACATTTTAAATTATTATCCTTTAATAATCTTTTGACATGCTTTAAAGTACACTTATTTTGATGTGTTGACTAACATACTGAAGCACATGTAAAGTACTTGATTATAATTTTAACTGTGGTGTGTTACTTGATATTACATTTCAAGTTAAAATTTTATTTAGTATGTTTTAAATCTACTAAATTGCAGCTTCATCATTACAAATGTGCAATTACAAATGTTATATTATTCAATATTGCATATAACATTAATATATTTTTAAATGTACTAGATTGCAACATTACAAATATGTAATTGCAAATATATTTAAATACATGAAAAACAAGTTTCAATATAAATAGCATTAAAGTATATTTTAGCAGCAGTACTTTAACTATATTTCAGAGACAAAATAATTAATTATGAAATTACATATAAAAATGTACTTAAGTTGTTCTTAAGCAGGTCAAAAAAGCACTTTAAAGTTCAGCTAATTACTTTTAATGGAAATGTAATCTATAATATATTATAATTCAGTTGGAATTAAGTGTCTGAAAACATCACATTCAGTCAACACTTAAGTATATCATTTTAAATATATTATTTACATAGTAAATGCTGTTTTTGAAAGTATACTACAGTAAAGTATTCTTTTTCACGAGGGTTTATCCAGCCGATTCAGGTGATAAAGTCTCAGTAAAATATGCCAAATTATAGTAATCTGAAGCGAACTACAAAAGCTAGCACTCAGAATCGCGCTGTGTAAGATGAATTCAGCCTTAACTTTTTGGATGTCTTTGCACTGTTATACATGATTTGCATAATTCCTTTAGTGAACTGACTGCTAAAACATCAAGTGTGTGCAAATGACCAATGCTATAAGCAGGCACCATTCATTCTTAGTAAACTCCCTCCACTGTGTGTATCTATGATGGGAGACTTACAGAAAATATGGTAATGTCTGCCAACAGTAGTTTTTCAAGTTCACCCATGTTAACAGAGCGAGTACCATTATGGCTTACTCTAAAATAGCGCAAGCCGCATGTACGCTGAATGATCACTTGAGGTCCCTCACTTTCTGCCTATATCTTTCTCATTCTCTCTCTTCTTCGTTCTTGTTGTCTCGCATTATGTTCCTCGGTGATCGATATTTAAAATGTGTTGATGACGCTGTAAGGATGCCACGACTCAGATTTATGCTTCCCCAGCCACACACACACATCTCTTCTTGATTCAAAACCTCTCGATGCAGGAACAGAGTGTGTAGGAAGCAAAAGATCAATAGACAGATAGACACATACTACGTAATAAACACCCACATGACATTTACAGCGCGCACACACACAGCGCTGTCTTGTTACAGTAGGAGGGGTGCAGAGATATAATACGGTTTTAATGAAGTGCTGAAGTAAGTGTGTTCTTACCCTGCTCCTGTCGTACTCTTTCCTGGACGCAGCGAACAGCTGGGCGTTTGAGATGGCAATACCACAGAACGGCAGATACATCTGCAACACCTGCACAGACACAAAAGTGTTTTGAAGTGTAGAGTCAATGTGAGTCTAAGGTGGTTGGATAAACACCAGAACAATAGTCTCTCCAAAACCCAGAGTGGTTTCAGCCTTGCAAAGTACTGTACCAGTAGTTACAGTAAAATTACATTACTAACCCTTAGCCTAACCCTCAAGAGCAAATTTGTAATTAATATACTTTGAATGATTTGAATGGATATGCACATTCATTCTGGCAGTTCTACTCATGTGTCAGTGTCTTTTATTCAATTTAATTTTAAAATCAACTGATTAAAAATGTAATTAAATGAACTGCATGACATGCCCATTAATTAATCAAATTAATCAGCATTAATCACATAAAAAAAACTATTACAATCTGCAGAGAAAAGCCTACAAATGAAGACGATTCTACAAACATACTGAACAAAGTGAAATGACAGTTATTTATTTCAGCTGCATTTTTAAACTGGTCTAATAATAATAATAATAATAATAATAATAATATGGTTTCCTATATAAACCTCTGTTTAAATATTATTTTCACAAGACACCAGAGTGTTGATGTGCAGAACATATTCTGACTGCAGAGATTATTGTGGGTTTTATTTTATTTATTTATTTATTAGTACATAGCAGAACATATTATGCATACTTAAAAAACCACAATCACAATAAACATTAAGGTCTTTTATTAATTATCTGTATTTATAGTAAGTAAACCAAATGAAACAATGACTAACAAAATGTTAGTTTTATCTTAAGTGAAAATTCGGTTACACTTTATTTCGATAGTCCACTTTAGACATTCTATTAACTATAAGTAACTTTGTAACTACATGTCAACTAATTCTCATTAATTTGCAACTACATGTCTACTAACTCTCAGAGTAGACAGGGTAGGTTTAGGGTTAGTAGAATAAGTTGACAAAGAAAGTGTTAGAAGATATTAAGCAGACAGTCTACTAATACTCTACTAACTGCTAGTTGACATGTAGTTGCAAAGTTACTTACTGTTAATAGAATGTCTAAAGTGGACTATCGAAATAAAGTGTTACCGAAAATTCTACTTTCATATCATGGCTAATTTATATTTTACATTGACCTACATTAAGTATAATTTTGGCTTATGTCTATAGAAAATATATTAAGTATGGTAAATAATCTTTTTATTCTGTATGATTGTTTGAAAATTAATATTTTTTAATTAATATTTAATCAAAATCAGCTGTAACAAATTAAGTTGGTCTAAAGTATAATTTTTTCAGCGCATTATTATTTGGAACAAAATATATATTTTTAGGGATGTCCCAATCAGGTTTTTTGTCCCCCGATCTGATCCGAATCATTGAATGTTGAGTATCTGCCGATACCGAGTCCCGATCCGATATATTCATACAGGAATGTATTTTTGGTGCACACTTCAAGTACATTAAAGATATTCAAAGCAATCCAATGTATACAGAGTTGTGTATGGAGTAAAAGTATGTGTATATATATATATATATATATATATATATATATATGATGCATGTATATGTTACAAGATACACTCTCTCTCTCTATGTATATACACATATGCACACATTGTATACAGACACTGGCAGAATGCATGTATATGTTACAAGATACACTCTCTCTTTCTATGTATATACACATATGCACACATTGTATACAGACACTGGCAGATGTAAACATGTTACAATGGAAGACAATGTAATGGTCAATAATTACAACATAAAGGGGAAAAAGTGGAGATAAGGTTAGAAAGCATGAAGCTTGTGGTGTCAGAATAGCAGTCTATCAGTCAATTTCGAAGCAAGACACAACATACAAAAATGCACTATGACAACGAAGTCCAGCGTTGCCAGATTGGAAATGTCCAAGTATCGTACCAGAAGCTCAAAATTATCCTATTTGCAAGAAAATTATCGTACACGAGTCAAACGTACAGAATACAGCTATTTATCTAGACCAACAACTTTTTGACACCTGCAAATAACCACAATAGATAAATAACTAAGCGTACCTTAGTGGGAAGGTCCAACCTCCACCTCTGAGTCACTGTCATCAGAAGCATACGTCTTGCCAGATGTTGAGGGGGATCCTTTTGCGGTACAGATTTGATGCCATCATGGACCCCAACAGCTCGTTGGCTTAAAAGCAGGGCACCCTCCTGCATTCTTAACACACTCCGAGGTGTGCACGAGCCCATTTAGAGTGTCTGTAATGAGCCGATTTCGTAGCTTTGATTTGATGAGGTTGACTTTGGAAAAAACACGTTCACATGATGCATTTGAATGGGGAAACACGAAAACATCGAGGGCAAACTTTCCCAATTTACTGAACACGATTACCCCGACAAAATCCTCCAAAGTAGAGATATGGTGGCAGAATTTATCAACATCCATTGCCTTTGTATCTTCGCTTAAGGCCACGAGTGGCAATCGCCTCCATTGGTCATCGATGTCATAAAACAGTGGCACTTTTGCATGAGGGGAAGCAAAGACGGATGCTCTGCTCGTGCCTTGGCATCATTCGCAGTGGCAGGGGAGAGGCACACGATTTGGGTGGAGAGGGCATCAAGTCAAACCCTTTCTTGATTTCTCCGCAGGCAACTCGGAGAAAATTCTGACAGCGCACATGAAAATCTGTCAGGGTGACTGCTGGTCATGCTGCATCACTTTTACACCCAAGTACAGCCTGTTTAGTGGTCTGAGCTTTTTGGATTTCACAGACCTTGCTTTTCAATTAAGTAATCACCACCTTTTCAATTAGAAAATATTGATTAAGATCTGTGAATATAGGTAGCACACACTCTAGAAAATAGTAGTACAGGCGAAGAGACTCATGATTAAGGGAGTGAAAATATTCTCCTCAGTGGTTAATCCTGCCTCAAGCCACTGGTCAGTGTAAAAAAGCCGGAGGGCATTCCACTGGGTGGACACACGTTTCACAACTTTGCTCAATGACAGCCATCTGGTCTGGGAGGGCTTAGTTTATGGGGTTCAACATGGCAAAAGTCTTGAAATTCTCAGAGCTGTGCGTCACGTTTTGCACTGTTTTTGAAATATCCATAAATGTCTCTGGCAAAATCCTCGCACCTGCAGGGGAGCTGCTTGTGTGCATGTGGCACACACACCGCTGCACTGTGATGCCCGACAGATCATATCTAAGGCAGCTGGAGATCTAATTGTTTTTTTCCCATCATTGTATTGCAGCCATCTGACCCGAACCCCTATATGTTTTGAATCGGTACATCTGCATCAGTGAATGACTTCAACATCTCGTTGTAAAGCCTTTCTGCAGTGGCCCCCTCAGTGACAAACTGTCTGTGTTGGTCTAAATAGATTTGCACCAGTTTCCAGAAATGGGTCTGAATCCTGTTTGTGCCCTCATCGAAAAACGAACAATAACACAAAGCGTTTTCACATTCCCGATGTCTGTTGACTCGTCAATCAAAACACTGTATTTTTTCCTTTTCAGGATTTCGGTTAGACTCTCAAAGTAACAGTCTCCAATGACATGCTTGGTTATAGCTGTCTTTGTGTGACCAAGGCTCATGTGCTGACCTGTTTTCAATTCTTTAAATATATCTTTTAAGACCTCGTCCAAATGGTCCGAGGTTCTCAATGCTATGCTGTGCTCTGCCATGTTAGCTTTATCTCAATTATTTTTTTTATTATTGATCGTACATCGTACAGAGGTCAAAATGTATGGTACAAATACAATAATTATCGTACGTCTGGCAACACTGACGATGTCTTAGATAGTCTGACGGAAGATAAAAGTAAATGATAAATGAATGAGTGATCGTTACAAAAATGCACATCAAATACACTAAACACAGAAGCTCAAATGTGTGTGATGCACTAGAACAGACTTCACCGGTTCTCACGTGCCATGCACGCACGTTTGAGCTTCTTCTTTTCCGTTTAATGGCGGCTGGCAAACCTCACTTAATGTCGCATACCGCCTCCTACTGAACAAAATTGGTGTGACAGCTGACGTAAAATAAGGATCAGGCTTAGGAGAGCCGATATTGATCAGTTAAAAAAAATGCTTGAGATCGGCTCGGGACATCCCTATATATTTCTCAGGTTTCCCCACACACTATGCCCATTTGCCATTGGTCGATCAAACAGATAGTCCCGAACCCAACTTACACCATTGTTAAACAGCCATTTTGGAGAAATCAAATTACAAATGTCTAATATATGATTTTTTTCTCCAAAAACCAGTTAAGCAGAAACCCCTCCTTGCAGCGATTTCACTGGCCAACTTAATCATGCAGTCATCTGTCAAGAAAAGTTCAAACTTAAGAAAAATAACAAATGGATACACTGAACATCACACTGTGTTAAGGCCGGGGGGTTGTGGTGGTATCAACCTGTCACCTACTGATTCAGTGCTGGATTAACATACAAACGAAAAACACAAAGTTGTGCTCATGTGCTATAATTGTGTTCAGTTTTTCTCTCTCTCCCTCACACACACACACACACACACGCCCACACACAAAAACACAACTGTATCTATTCCAGACATCCTAGGCATTTATGAAACAACTACAATAGGATTATTACTATCTTTCTTTTAAAGTTATTTAATAAGTTATTTGAGAATAAATAATGCCACGTCAGGTGGGGACATTAGATCTCCCATAATGCAAATGGAAATCAAAGCCTTTATTTCTGTAAAGCCTGACATATGAAATAATAGTCAGAAAAATCTTTTTTTTTTTAAATGGAACAATTTATTGGAACTTCAGACAAAATCTAGATTGTATCATATTTGATATATCAGGCTTTTATATCTCATATAGCATAACAGAGAAAATATGGATGTTAAATCTTGAGAAGTAAAAACACCTCAATTTTATTCAGGGGCCCAAACGGAGTAAAAATATGCAATTTGGTGCAGATGCTCATAATGGTCAAAAAGTGGTCAAAAATATGGTAAAAACGTGAGATGAAATTCTGATAGTTTGCAGTATGCATGTAAATATCAGCTGTCAATCTCACAATAATGTCTTAGTAAGATTATATTTAAATGCTTAGTATTATGATCAAAGCTCTATATTTTTTTATTGTGACAGCAAAACATAATGCAATGCAATACAATGATGACTGAGAAATGACATTGTTCCTCAAAAGCCTGATGGATCATATTTGATGCTCAACATGATTTTTCTAAAAGAAAAAAGAAAAGTATAGATAATCAGGTTGCTTCAGTCCAGTAAGTATTCATCTTGAAATAATATATATATATATATATTTTATTTAGTCATTTATCAGACGTTTTTATCCAAAGCGACTTACAAATGAGGACAACAGAAGCAATCAATTGTAGTATTAAAACAACTAAAAACAGACCCAAAATTAAAAGCTAAAACTTTATAAATACTACCTATACTATACACATTTTAAAAATAAAGAGATTAAATAAAAATGACAAATGCATACAACAAAATTGCAAAACTTAACATTTAAATGAAAAACAAAAAATAAAGCTAAAAACAATTCAAAATATTAAAGAACGAAAGGTATGAGTATATAATAATGATTCTAACATAACACTAAGCCAAACACCAAAAAAAAAAAAGAGCAGATGTGACCTGAACCTGCGGGAGCGATCAACAGATCTCACAGCACACTTTCAGCTCATTTAAACTGTTAAGCTAATGAAAAGAGAGAACTGAGCTCATTCACATGGAAACACAACAACTTTCTACAGATTATCACTCAACTATTTCATTACTACTTCATTCCACCGTGGGCCTTCTAAGCAAAGTTTTGTTGCAGGTGCTTCTGCTAAACTTCATCAATCACTGTAATTTTTCCCTGTAGTCCATTTATGTTTCTGCACCATGTGTATGCCGTTTCTCATGATCATTCTGCACCAACTATAACTTTTAAGAGTTCTATGTTAATAACCTTTGATATCATTGGCTAAGCTTTTTATTTTTTTTGGTTGGCTGCCGGGTCCAAAACAGTTTTTAAATACCCAAGCCTTCAATACCAGATTCTTTGCAAAGCCTGAATTACTGTGTGGCAGGATCGCAAAACAATCAGCGCTGAAATGTAACAGTCAAACTGTTAAAGGAACACTCCACTATTTTTGAAAATAGGCTCATTTTCCAACTCCCCTAGAGTTAAACAGTTGAGTTTTACCGTTTTCGAATCCATTCAGCCGATCTCCGGGTCTGGCGGTAGCACTTTTAGCTGTAGCTTAGCATAGATCATTGAATCTGATTTGACCGTTAGCATCTCGCTCAAAAAATGACCAAAGAGTTTCGATATTTTTCCTATTTAAAACTTGACTCTTCTGTAGTTACATCGTGTACCCTAGATCGATGGAAAATGAAAAGTTGCGATTTTCTAGGCCGATATGGCTAGGAACTATACTCTCATTCCGGCGTAATAATCAAGGAACTTTGCTGCCGTACCATGGGTGCAGCAGGCGCAATGATATTACGCAGCGCCTGAAAATAGGCTAACTTCCATCAACATAACCAATGTGACCACCTGCTTGCACAGGGACCGTGCTGGGGCCTATTTTCAGGCACTGCGTAATATCATGCTAACGGTCTAATCAGATTCAATGATCTATGCTAAGCTACAGCTAAAAGTGCTACCGCCAGACCCAGAGATCGGCTGAATGGATTCGAAAACGGTAAAACTCAACTGTTTAACTCTCGGGGAGTTGGAAAATTAGCCTATTTTCATAAATAGTGGAGTGTTCTGACATTAACTGACAGTCACCACTGATAAGCTACTACTAAATATTGTAGAAACCTAATTTGCTGTAAAGTTGCTTTGCAACGATTTGTATCGTGAAAAGCGCTATACAAATAAACTTGAATTGAAAACTTGAATTGAATTGAGTGTTCCTTTAAGATCTGATTGACAGGATCAGGGACATTGATAAAAATAAACTTCAGACACTTTTTGTGATTCTTTAGAAGGATCTGCTACACACAACCAGAAACGCCACCAGGTTTAGAAGAGAATCAGCAGAGAAACATGGAAGCCCATTTCCAACACACACACACAAAAAAAGTAATTGCGACTTTTTATCTCACAATTCTGACTTTTTTCTCACAATTGTGCGATATAAACTCACAATTGCTAGTTATAAAGTCAGAATTGTGAGTATAACATAATCTCACAATTTTTATTT